CCCAAAACCCCAAAACCCCTATATCTAATATTAAGTTTTAATATCTGTTAAGGTGTATAATAAAAATAATAAAATCAAAGCAATATTATTGGATTATTAGAAAAAGCTTTTCAGAATAAGACTCTAATTTTGCTAAAAATCACATTAGTCGAGATTTTATAATGACAGTGAGCCAACCTGCTACAAAGAATAAAATTGTCATTGAACATAAGACTATATAGCATTCCTTTTCTCCATAGGTGTAGCTAAATTTTTCAAAGACGTAGTCTTTATAAATCCTCTTACTAATAAGTCTTCTAAAAAGTAGCTCACATGTATATCTCATTGGTGAGATCCATCCAAGGAATTTACCCACAAAGTTGACATTATTTAGATTAGAAAAGGATCCAGCTCCAAGATTGAATAAAATCATAAATAGATTAACTACCAAAATAGCTTGCTAATCACTGTTAAATATCGCCCCAAGCATAAAACCAAAGCAGGATCCATTTAGAGACTATATAAATAAAATACTCAGCCATCTGAATAGATTTTCAGCTGAACTGTCATCAAATTTAATGAAGTAAAATGTAATTATTCCCACACAGAAAGGATAAAATAGCAAGGTAGTCATTGAGCAAAGTAAGGTGCCTAAGTAAAAGGCGCTACCTGAATACATATTAGATTTCTTTTCTCTGTGATAAACTGGCATGATTATTGGCACTTAAAGAATCTATGCCATTGCCATACAAATGAACTAGTCAACACTACTATAGAATACATATCCAAGCCAGTTGAATACTACTTGCTCATTTGACTTAAGTGATTCAAATATGCTAAATTCTTAGGAGCCTATGTCATGATAGATAGATGAAATCAGGAAGGCCATGAAAAGTGAAATACCAAATAAACCGTAGAGAGCTCTTGGATTTCTAAGAATATAAAGAAGAGTCCTGTAATAAACTAATCTAAACTGAAGGAAGAAAGAAGCAGATCTTTGTTCTCCTATCATCGTAATCTTAAGGCCTCTATTATTGAAGTTTTATAATTAAGCTCTTTCTTCAGAATATTATGCATTAGACTTTGCAGTCAGTAAGGAAGTAGATACCTCAGTATTAATCATTTTAGGATCTACAGCTATCTTAATTAGGTAATCTGAAGGATTTGTAAATCTTGGTAATCTCATATTGACCTCACTTAAAAAGTTCTGTAGCCTACTTGCTGGCCCATTATATATACTGAATCCTTCAGAAAGCATCATAAGTCTGTCAAACTACATAAATAATTCCGAAGATGGTTAATGGATAGTGCAAATGACATTCATACCCTTCTTTGCCTCTTTTTTTAACAGTTTTATGATTTAAAGCGCTGTTGAAGAGTCTAATCCGCTTGTTGGTTCGTCTAGCAGCAGTAGATTAGGATTGGTGATAAGTTCGTAACCAATTGAGGTTCTTTTTCTTTCTCCTCCTGAAAGTCCTTTCAGGAAAAACCCTCCTACTAAAGTTTTCCTACAGTTCTACAGCCTAAGTCTATGAATAACGCTTTCAACTAAATCGTCAATTTGCTCTTTTGATTAGTTTGTCCTTAGTCTAGCAGCAAATTTAAATAATTCTTCAGGGGTAAATGTTATCATCAATACGTCATCCTATTAAACAAAAGCTGCGAATTTACCGAAATCACTCTTATCTAGCAAACGACCATTTGCTGCTACTTTACCTGAAACAATACTTCCTTTGCTTAGGGTATGTCTTTGTGAAAGGATATTTAAGAGACTAGTCTTACCTGATCCACTAGGACCCATAATAGCCATAATCTCTCCTGGTCTTGCAAATCCTGAGTTATGTTTCAATATATGTGTCATGTTAACCTTATCATCAGGGAATACATCACTCTCTGATTCTTAGGTTATATTCTTTGAAGATTACTAAGGAGTTTATTATGTAGTGCCAAAATTTAATGCAGTATTTTCTTGAACAATAGTATTCTATTATTCCACTGGACCCCTTGAGAAGAAATGCTTCTTTTTCTATGGGACAAAGAAATTTAGGTCTTTCCATTCCAAGAAAATTTGTTCTTCCTCATTAATACTTTGCTCATAAATAGGTGCTTTCTCCAACAGCCTCTCATTATCAGGATAGTCTCCTCCATACTCTTTATCCCTTAGAATTTTATCTGTTTCGTAGTCCATCTAAGTTTTACTAGATAATCAAAAGCAATATATTAAATTTACTATAATTATGAATCACAAAATGCTGGCTATGACGTCAATTTAGTCAACTGGGGTTTTGGGGTTTTGGGGTTTTGGGGAGAT